AATAAAAAAACACCATGTGAACGATCACATTAGCCGATACAAAATATTATTATGGTAAGACATTTGACGTGAGTAAAAACTTATGAGATTAAACTTACTGGCATGGCTATACATTTTTAACGTCACAAAGTTCAACGTACATTTAGGTCTCATTCTGAATTCAGACAGTGTTAAGTTAAATATTTACTATTGTTGAAATATTTATGAAAATATTACTATTGTTAAGACGTGACAGAAAATAATATTGCAAATATTTTTGAATAAATTCTGTTTGTAATCGAGAAGTGAAAAAACGAGCCATAGTTTTTGTTTTATTAAAAAAAAAAAATCGATTCAGTCGATAACCATTCGAAGAATTACACGTGGAAATATATATATATATACATACCTATAATATCATGTTTTATCTTACTTGATTATTCTCATCTGCGAAACACCGTTTATAAATGTATATAATAATATGTTTAATTATCAACACTRATTTTACTTTTAGTATTTTAATTACGATTTGTTTGTGAAACGCGCCGAGAATAATTTATTAAAATGTTATCGTTACATAACACCTCACGTTTTTACCTGTGATAATACCAGAACAATTTGTATTGTTTTTTAATTAAATTTATCAAAACTAATATTGGGTATTTCATAATATATTCTTAAACTTGTTTAAAGTAATGAGATTTTTTTAAAGTGTCAGATATAAATCTATTATAAAGTAAACACTAAACATAAATGATAAAATTGTGAGGATTTATAAAATGTTTGATTTTATTCAGATTTTGGGCTAATAAAAAATATGTAGGTATTATAATCATTTTATGGGTTCGTTACGTTGACTAATGAGGGTTTACAAGAAATAGGTAGAAACAAGGTATGAAGTATCAAAAATTAATTGAATAGATTTTATGGCTTGCAAATGACATATTGTAAAGTTTAATTTTAATTGTAAACTTAAATTAAAAAAAGTTCTTATATCATACCGATCTTACCCGCAAAAAAGCTAAGTAACACTTTTAATTGGTGCTTATAATATTATAAGTAGTTATCATTGTTAGAATTGAATATAATGTAATTTATTATTATATATTTACAATTATTATTGATTGGAAATACCTAAATATTGGTAAATATATATTATTATTGCTATAATTATACATCTCCACTTTGCACAATATCAAAAACTATATAACTAGAAATACCATTGCTTGGCGTTTTGTTTTTACACAATATACATTGAAAAAAGTAAAATAATATGTTGTAAAACGATAGGATCGATAACAAAACAAAATTACTAAACTTTTCGCATAACTACTGTTTACGATTGTCAACGAATTTTCTTTAGCTTGAAGTCATTACTTAGAAATAAACGAAAAATCCAATGTTATTAAAACCAAATAAAAGTTTTGTTGACTTAAAACATTACTATAATTATTTATTGTGTCAGCTCTAAAATAAAAGACAATAGAACAAAATATTAATTTAATATGTATTTATGACGACGTCGTACCAACATGCGATGTCTCCATCTTACACACGTACAGCAAGGAAAATATTTCGGTCCTCCAGTTTCAAATATTTCAATAGTGTATTGTTAGTTTTGATATTAGAGTAGATTGACCCATTATGAAATTTAAAGGTAATATCATTACATAGCACCACACTTGTAGGCTTTTATCTATATTATTATTTTTAACTAATTTATGATATTTCTGAAATAATAAATTTTAAAACGATCAGAATTTCTTAAAAACAATATGATATCAGTAAAAGACTATGTGGAGCCCATGATAATCTTACCTGTAAGTTTATTAGTAAGTTATTTTTTTTTTTACTTTTATAAAAAAACTAATAGTACACTATTGAAACTGATGAATGAACATCTGCCATATCACACGAGCGTACGGTAGAAATAACATATGCGGATACGATGTTTTCTTAATATAAATTCAAATAATTAATTAAGTTGTATATTAGGCAACCCCAATACACGTTGTTTAGCTTGTATGAATAAATAAAAACTATGCTATTTCATTGATTATAAGATCGTGTAATCAATGTTATAAATCGAAAAAAACTGTTTTAATATTTATAAAATGCTGTTCATCACATTTGAAAATCTGATTTAAATGTAGGTGTGGTCATAGATGACGTATATTTTATAATTTTTGCACACTATGTAACTGCTTATACATTTTACTGCAAGTCTGGGCATTAACGCGTCAATAAGTTAAAGTTAAGTTAATTTAACTTTTTAACTAAATAAGTTTTTTTTTTTTTATGTTTATTAACTTAATAACTTTGGGAGCTTTCGAATTAAATTTTAATTAACTTGAGTTAATTTTACWTTTAAACAAGTTAAGTTAATTTAATTTAATTTTGTGAACTATTGTAGGAATACAAATTGCTGGTAGGCTAAGGTTATTAGACAAGTATGCTAACAAAATGTGTACTGTAAACTTTTGCACACATAAAATAGTAATAGTTCTTTGGTCTAGTAACATGAACAATTGTAGTTGCCAATTATTTTAATTTTACCTATAAGAAAACAAGAAACTTTTTTWAACTTAAYTTGAGTTAAAAAGTTAATATTAMATTTTGGTTAACTCTTAACTTAATTCAATTGATAGAACATTTTGAATTAACTTTTAACGATTAACTTGATTTAGATTTTAATTTAACATAACTTAACAGAGTTAAAAAACATCATTAACTTGCCCAGCCTTGCCTTTTAGGGTAGAAATCAATAAATTGTAAAAAAAAGATTTCCAACGTATATTATTTTAACAACAATTAATGGCTGATTAATTTATTATGAAATAATTTAAAGTAAATATAATATATACGTTAGGATATATATATATATAATATAATCTAACATCGTGAGAAACATCAACGTTCCTCCTGCAGTAAAAAATAGTTATATTTGGTTAGATATTATAAGTATCGATAATGATACGGATTTCTTAAAACATATACGATTGATGAGACACAATTTGGTTACCATATATAGGCGTACAATTCATGCGGATAGGGTTATATCGTTTTCATAACAAAATTATGCTAATTTTGACTTAGAATACATTTAAAGTTACCATATAATTAGCCATTGTATTAAGTTTGAAGATAAACGTTAAGAAATTTTGTTTTAAACAAGCATCAAAATATTCATCCATAAGAATTTTATGCAAGCGCATTCTTCGATAACGGAAAAGCACTTGGGGAACACAAAACCTACTCTGCAATATACATTGTTTTCAAAACCATCTGTATTAATACAAAAATATAAAAAAAGATAGCTTGATAAAAAAATGTGGACATGTAATTAACATTTAAAAAAAGTGTAATCAACGTAATCAAGCTAAACAAATAACCATACTAATTAATGCGCAACTGTAGGCTAATTACCTAGCTGTTGAATCATTTATATATTTAACCTAACCTAATAAGAAAATACATATATTATTTTCACAAAATTCAATCGCTTTATTATGTTTCTAATTAATTTAAATAGGTGTATATTATATTAGTGTTTGAACTTACATCGCTGGTATGGTTGATGCATTCATAGCTTTTATCAACTCTTGCTCCCAGTCGTGTTCCTTGCGTTCCATTTCTCGTCTTTCAAGTTCTTTCTCGCGATTATAACATTTAAAATGTTGAAGTTGTCTACTAATCTCAGTGTCCTGTTTAAAAATCGTCGTAGAAAAAAATTACAATAGGATTTCCATGAAAATTAATTTTCTTACTTCTATTGTCATGGAAGTTCTGAGTGACCTTTGTTTTGCCAACCGTCTGGGCTTTCGGTGCAATGGGTTGGGTTCGACTATCATCTCTTCCAGTTCAAACGTTGGATCACAATTCAGCCTGTCTTTCTAAATAATTTTCAAAAAATGGTTATTATAAAATTTTTTTTCAATAAATATATCAAAAACTATGATTTATTTTATTGTACTTTTAACAAGTTTTAAATGGTTTTTAACTTTAAATTAATTTCAATTCATATTAAATAAATAATACAAGAAAAATTGTTATTAATTTTCATAAAATTTTCATATAAAAAAACACTTGTTAACATATAAGTTATCACATTTTTAATATTTTATTTTAATGAATTCATTTCAAACCATCATTTTCAAATATCCATTTCATTTTATTTCTGTTGTTTTTATTCACTTATTTTTTGTTATAATATAATATTATATTTACATTTTAAAATAAAATATTTCGTCAAGTTAATGTAAAAAAACCATTTTAACTTAGACTCGATATTGTACAACTGCTGTCCCATGAGTTTTAAATTGAACGATTTTAGAAAAGTAATTTTAAAAAGAATTGGATATTCGAATTGTTCAGCGATTGTTTCATACATTATCGCTGTATGATCTATAATTTCGTAAGATGTGCTAATAATATAATTTTAAAATTATTGTGCAGACCAATAAATTAACATACACCCCTTTGGTTAAATAATTTTAATTGTCGATTTATCGATTATATTTCGTGACGATATACATTAAATCAATAATTATTTGAATGCGTTCATAATACTATGAACTCACCCAGGAGACAGGATTGGACAAGCTTATTTAACTATTTGAAAAACACAACCTTAT